TTACCCCACCAATTTTCCTCTGATATATTTCCTTTTGCCAAACTTGCTCTCATCAATTTCAACAGCAACACCCTCTCAGCACAGTGGGGCACTTTCGGCGACAATCATATCTACACACACTTTACGACAAAACGCATCCAGTAGTCAAGGTACGGTCACTCACGTCAACATCCCAACTGATGTAATTCATACTTGCTGCCATCACCCACATGTAGGTAATAAGGGGTCGTCCAAACATTTCGTAACGCTAAAGAGGGGAGGAAGCGTTACGATGCGTTACATAGGGTATTAGGTAAATGTTACGCAACGTTGATATTTATTTTTTACATTTTTCAACAGTTGCTGAAATAATTCTTTCCTTTTCTGAGTCCTCTACTAAAACATTAAAATATTATAAAAATAATTTGTTTTAAAAACATAAATAAACTAAAGTTATTAGATGGAAATTGTTACAATGGAAATATTTTTTTTCATTTTTGTTCTGTAAGATTACGAAGAAAATATTCCAAACTAATTTGAAGTATATTCTAGAATCCATTTAAATTGGCGCTGTAGACTATCGCTCTTGCATCATCCAGGACGGCGTGTGCATAGCTTGTGATCAACCATTTCCTGTCCAAGCATTCTTTCTTCACTTACAATTTGCCCCCGATTTTACAGTTCGATGCAACCAGCTTCGCCAACAAATTTCTACTTTAATTATCATTAATTACTTTAATATACAACACAAGTAAAATAAAAAGTTTTTAATGCTATAATGTAACTTCCCTTTTTACATTTACAAGAAGGGGGGGGTGTTGTCATAAGCGTTACTTAATTATTTAGGGGGGTTCAAGCGTGCGTTACAAGGGAGAGAGGGGGTATTGAAAATACTTCAAATTTGCGATACGTAATTTATGGACGGCCCCTAAGAAGCACCTGCTATATCTCCCAAATGACTGTCCGAAAACCAAGACCTCTTTCTTATGGACATCTCAGAATGTTCTCCGGACTGTCTACACACCCATTTAAATCCATCATCCAAATCCTTTCTCTCAGAAAAAAAAACCAATTTTTCTCTTACATGCATTGCAAAAAACGGCGGATGCTAACAAACCAACACATTGACAGAAAAAAAAAACATGAAAAAAATAACAATTCAAATGCTTCATCACAGTAAACACAACAAATCTATAGAAAAAAGCAAACAAATAAGAATTAGAAACGCACAACCACGCCTGAAAGTGTACTCACGAATGTCATGCACGAACACATGTAATATAGAACACCAATAAATAACATTAGTTACCGTTAGAAACGTTCCAATGAGCCTTGAGCACATTTTAATACAATGATTGACTCATTTCATGAACAGGCACCGTAAACTAATCAACGAGAAATTCAAAACATCGAAACTGTAGTTAGTTTTCCCAAAAAATACAAGAGGACATCCTGACAAGCGACGGACGGAAAATTGGATGGCTTTTGAACAGTGGTTGCACACCGCACATGTCGAGGGTCGGTCTACTGAATAATGAGAAGCGGCAGAAATCGAAATTGACAGCACAATCAAGACGAAGAATATGTTCGGATGCCGTCGAAAACTTGCCAGAAACTTTAGCACTAAATCAAATAATGTCAATGTCAATCTAAAGAAAGGGCTCCACGTGCTTTGTTTGAAGTCTAACTTATTGCCGATCTCCGTTATTGTGAAAAGGAACAAGCAAATTGTGGTCGATGAGAAAGGTGTTCGAATATTTGATACCATTAACAAATCGTTTATTGCAAATGGCTGTTCGACGGGGATAACTTCATTCGTGAAATGGCATAGGGCGACAAAGAACAAGTGTCGATTTGAATTCAGAATGTCATGTTAATAGTGAGTGTACAGACGAATGTAATATTTATGAAATATGTTTCAAAACCAGTGTTAACATTGAAAACTGGCCTAGAAGAATGTGTCATGTCAATCTCTATATCGGAAAAAGTGTAGCAAAAATTTGGTCCGAGGGCTTGATTTTTCGAGCCAATGTAAACCACGTGACAGTTGTTTAGAAGGAAAGTTTACAATACTTCCGTTCAAAGCGGTAGACATACAAAGTGTTTCAAGTATTTTAGAGGGCCTACATTAAGACTTAGGTGGACCGATGCTGGTGATTTCATTGGGAGGAAGCAGGTATTTTTAGTTCATCGTTGATCAATACAGTCGGAGGTATTTCGCTGAGTTGTGAAAGATAAACACCAAAGTGAAGATACGTTCGTGGAATTGATAAGAGGGGAGAATGAATCAGTGTAAAGATATATATTAGGACAGATAATGGGAAGGAACTCATTGATGCGACTCTACAAAAAATCTACAAAAACAAAGGAGTTATGTGTGAAAGAACTGTACACCGCAAAGCAACGAAATGACTGAATGGGCTATAGGGCAGTTCTAAATGCCACAAATATGTTTATTTATTTATGCAAAAAAAGTTAAAAACTGTGACGTGCTATGGAGAGAAGTTAATTAGAAGTTACATTTTCATGTTGTCCATAGATTCCGGTTTACCATTGAGATTCTGAGCCGAGGCTGCGCAAACGGCTATATATACCTACAACGTTGCTCTGAAGAAACATGGAAAGGGTGGGGTTCCTTTATAATTATGGTCTGGGATCAAACCCGCGCCGTCACTTTTTCGAGTATTTAGCTCCAAAATATTCTTCAGAATTTCGAAGCCAAATACAAGTAAATTAGAGAGAAATGGGCAAACGAGGTATCTTCGTGGGATATTCTAGATGACCGGCAGATGTCACCGGATATGACCTGGAAAACGATGTCATAGTGGCTTCTCATAGAAACAGTGAAAACTGTCCTACTGAATATAGTGACGTTTTAGTAAATTTTCAAGTAGGACAGAAGACTAATAACGCCTCAATCTTAGATGTCGATGGAACTGGCTGACACATCAAAAATATGATAATTGACGTCTTAAATCATTCAAATAATCATGACACTGACACAGGAATCTGTAAATCTCCTAGAACGAGGTACCCACTCATAAGGGATGATGCTGCGAACATGGCTGCAGAACCAACCTCCAAAACGTTTATAAACAGGAAGAATCGATCCGACTGCAACGAAAGAACGAATGGAAGAAAGCTACACTACAGAGTTGGAGTATCGGCAAAATTATAATACGTGGGATTTAGTGGACCGGGAACAATCCAAGAACGGGAATTTTCTATGGAAGAAAGAGAAGAAAAGAAAAAGAAAGAAAAAATTCTTTAAGAGAAGGTGCGTAGGCAACAACGTGAACTATAAAGCGAGGCTAGCAGTGGATGGATCCAGTGATGAATGTTATTCGCTTTACGCTTTCATTGGCCGCAATGATCGATTATTGTATCATATACATCGATGTGGAAATTGTTCATCTAAATGGAAAATTAGAACGAGATATTTATGCCTGGAAAATTCCAGATGGTGTGGACATAGGCTGTACTACATTTTCCCCCACCTATGTGAAGCTGGAAGATGTTGGTACAATAAACGATGAGAGTGCTCAAGCGGTGTGGAATGGAATCGTGAAAAAGTGATTGTTGAGTGTTTGCGAATACTCAAGATAAGGATTTCTTGACCATTTGATTTTATGCAGAAGATTGTGTCGTCGAAGGAGACCACTCTCATCGACTCTCCACACCAGCCTCGACAACTTGATAGCAAATTTGAAGAAACAATGAAGGGTATTCGAACTAGCGATGCAGATATATATTATTCGTTCCGGGATATTACAGTTGTAAGAAAAAGTCGCGGTTTTTACTATTCCAAGAAAATATTATAGACGAATTATTAGAAAGGGGTAATATGAATAATTGTCACCACACGAGTATGTCTGAAATATCACGAATGAAAATGTATGATTTTGAAAACTGTGATAATGTCAATGTGAACCTATATGAAGAACTGCTGGGCTGTGGAATACCATGTGGCTATCACTCGTCCATATTTGGTTCACACGTACAGCAAACTATTTCAATTCCGAGTACCAATCAATAGTTCCGAGTACTATTCATCTGCAAGGTGGTAAAAGAGCATCACGATACGCGAAATAAACGACCAAGTAAAAACTATTCCTCTACGAGTTGTTTCTGGCTTTAGTACAGCAATGAAATTTCTTGATTTTTCCCGGTTTTCCAAGGAGTAGATACCATGATATTTGCCATGACCACGTGTGTTACGTCGCATCACTGTTATATTTCAAAGGCGATAAATTTCTTACTCTGAATCTACTATTTTACATTTCAACGAGCGGCCATTGGATCACACCATTTGTAAGTTCCAATTCAGCAGCAGCTGACAATAAAACGTGTCACAAACAATTGTCATACACACGCACTAGTATTCGTAACGGCTAAATGACTGCCGATTACTACACGTAAAAGCACTCTAAACTCTAAAAAATACTGAATGTAGGTATTCCATGAATGTAAGTATATCCATTAAATTTAGATAAAAATTAGTTCCCTATTGATAATAAACCACGTTTAGACTGGACTTCAAAGTAACTTAGAAAAATCGTGTTCTGTTTTCGTGCATGCACGAAAGGCGAAATTTGTTGGTAATCATGACGTCATTCGATAGATTTCGTGCAGCACGATAATATATTATCGAAAAAATAGTACTGTTGTCTCCATCTAGTATGTAGCATTATCTGAAATAAAACGGTGTAACTTTACTCTCGAAATTTGACCTATAAATAGGAGCAAAAGCTGCAGTATATTCGTAATTCAACAACCTTTTCAGACTATTGACCGGGAAGTGTTGATTAGCGGAACGCATACGTCATATAAAAACGGAAAGCAAACAAAAAAACAGGAGGGTGGACTCAGCATGACAGTCACATCCCGTAATGAGAAGGTTTGAAGGAACATATACTGGAACGTTTGCATAAATTTGTACTTCACAATAACGTACTGAACGCGTCGGAAAGGCGTCCCAGATGAGTGGGTGGGTGGCAGGGCGCAGGGCGCTGTGTACTTACAGAGGCGTCCGAAGCTGTGGCTCAGGCGCTTCTTTAGCTTCTGCACGCGGCTGAGCGCGCCGCTGCCCTTCTTCTCCCGCATCGTCACCCCTGCAACAGGGTGCACTCTCTCAGTACCGGCACTCGGTCACTCGGACACCGATTGGAAGGGAAGGGGAGGCCTTGCATCCCGGCAGGAGGCCACGAAGAACAAGATGAAGAGAGAAAGTAGGTAAGAAGAATAAGGACACGAGTGGGGGAGGAACAGTGCGGAAAAAAGGGAGAGGAACAGTGCGGAAAAAAGGGAGAGGAACAGTGCGGAAAAAAGGGAGAGGAGAAGTGCGGAAAAAAGGGAGAGGAGAAGTGCGGAAAAAAGGAGAAGAGAAGTGCGGAAAAAAGGAGAGGAGAAGTGCGGAAAAAAAGGAGAGGAGAAGTGCGGAAAAAAAGAAGAGGAGAAGTGCAGAAAAAAAGGAGAGGAGAAGTGCGGGAAAAAGGGAGAGGAGAAGTGCGGAAAAAGGGAGAGGAGAAGTGCGGAAAAAGGGAGAGGAGAAGTGCGGAAAAAAGGGAGAGGAGAAGTGCGGAAAAAAAGGGAGAGGAGAAGTGCGGAAAAAAGGGAGAGGAGAAGTGCGGAAAAAAGGGAGAGGAGAAGTGCGGGAAAAAGGGAGAGGAGAAGTGCGGGAAAAAGGGAGAGGAGAAGTGCGGGAAGAAGGGAGAGGAGAAGTGCGGGAAAAAGGGAGAGGAGAAGTGCGGGAAAAAGGAGAGGAGAAGTGCGGGAAAAAGGGAGAGGAGAAGTGCGGGAAAACCGAGAGGAGAAGTGCGGGAAAACCGAGAGGAGAAGTGCGGGAAAAAGGAGAGGAGAAGTGCGGGAAAAAGGAGAGGAGAAGTGCGGAAAAAAGGAGAGGAGAAGTGCGGAAAAAAGGAGAGGAGAAGTGCGTAAAAAGGAGAGGAGAAGTGCGTAAATAGGAGAGGTTGAAGTGCGGAAAAAAGGAGAGGAGAAGAGCAGATAAAGCGCAGTCACATCGATAAGTATACAAATTGGTCAATTGTGCGATGAAAGTGATTATCGTTTACCTCCATCGAAGGAAATTAACTGCACATTCTAATAAAGGAGGCCTGCGAAGGGAAGTAAAAGACGTACAAATAGTTTCTTCGCCTGAAAACAACATGAAGCAAGGGAGATAGGAACAGTAACTTGCGAGAGAGTGCGTGGGATCACGCTTGGCTGTCGATTCGTCCATCGCTTAAGGGCGAGATAATAGAATTTGCCTCCAACGAACCCGACCGATGTTCCACGGACGTCTTAAAAGTAGCGCTGGCTCAGGGTTGAAGGAAACAGAAAATAATGAACACCGTCGTCGTGGACGGGTTTCCAAAGCTCGCGTGCACACGCAAGGCTTCTCCCGTGCCTCGGCGCTCAGTGCTTCCCTGCACGCACAGCATCAACCGAACAAAGCTTCTGCAGCGCCACGCAAAAGAAAAGGCGTCACTCCGTTGCACAGGGCGAAATTGTTATTTACGACACTTAATCGTAAGATGTTACGATACGAATGTGCACTTTCTAAAAGTTCAAACAACGATACTTCTTGTTTAATTTGACTATTCATACTGCGAATGATGACAATGGTGTTCATAGCACTCCTAGTTAATACGACACAATGGATTACACTATCAGAAATTTCCATAATAATGTAAATTAAATTAATTACCACGAACGCACATTAAATTTGATGTACATATGCATATTACGATGCAAGAGTCATAGCTTTATTGTCATATCTGAAAGGAAGGAATGATCTTGGTGGACTGCTGATTAAGATATTAATAATGAGAGGTAGGGGAACTTTGTATAAAATCTACACCGATTTTAACTTGTGCATTAAATGTAATGTAAAATACATTAAGCTCTTTTTAATGTAAAAAAGAGCTTAATGTATTTGTATCTCCCCACACATTCGCAGCATATCAGGAACGTTCTACTCTAAATTACTGAATCTTCCCGTGTAGAACATTTTTACTTTCTCCCTTTACTACGAAAGAAGCGAGGCGGAGGCGGATCAATAAAAAAATGATATCTTAGAAACTGCAGGAAATATCAAGGCAAAACAAGTTAGTACCAGGAGTAGCGGCAATTTTTTTATTGTATTTTTTATTCAAAAATAAAATATCAAAGAAAAAAACATCCGAGCCCACAATTTCGGCGTAAAAACATTGCCATCAGTAAATCGATGTTAAATACCCCGATGTTTGAAGAAAATATCGATGTTTTGAAAACATCGACATTGATGCCGGATCCCTAAAGGGCCCGCACTCCATAGCTTATATGAGAACAGGAGCAAACGCCTCCCCCCCCCCAGCACCATACAAACACAAAACTCCAAGTGCTTTATACTACAAACACTTCAAAGATGTACAAAACAGTTGTATTTGTCACGGGTAGATGTAGCTCAGGGCATCAACAGATATTACTACAGTACACCTCTGACCAGGTTCGAGTCCCCCGGGTTCATAGGTTCGAGTCCCGGCGGTAGCAGGATTTTCGACACTAGCGTATCAGCTAGATCGAATTCACTAGATGTCTGGAGAGGAATTCTGGTGGCCTGCTGCTCTACGCGGTAGTTTTACGTGGTTTCTCCGATCAATTCCGGGCGAATGACGGAGTAGTTCCACAACAAACGGGTCACGGACCATGCACGATCTTTCCTTCCTCTTCCTTGACCTACCATCACCCCTTACTTACACACACACAAAACTACAGTTTCCTAGAGACCGGTCGGAAGCCTACAGCTTGTCCGGGTTGGGGCGGTTCACCGATGGTGGAAGATACCTGGATGAGAGAAAACCCGTTAGCCGACGAGGTCGTCACCGCATCTCACCTCCCAGGGTGTTGTCACCATCACCACTATCCAATAAAAGTCGTATTGGTGGTTTTCGCTGCTCTTGATTGATTATTTTATGTTGCGGAGTTTCCCCTCTCCAGGTGTCTCGACCAGCGCTGCACTTACGCAGCCGAGACCAGTTCTAGGCTCCCGACCGACCTTCTAGCACGTGTGGCAGTGAAATACAAGAAAGTTTAAATTTAGCTGTGCGCGTGCAAGCGAAGAGGAGAGGCCGAGAACGCAGAGGGAAATATCGCGCGCTGTCCGTACCCACGGCTCCTTTGTTAGAGCACTGCTCCGGAATTCGCGTGGTGTTGATTGTAGAGCGCACGATGAGAACAGCCAGCCGCAAGACCCCTCCTCTGACGGCGGAGGAATACCACTTGAAGTAGCTAGTGTCCAGACTCGAACGCCCAAGACCTCCCGGACAGAGGGGCTGCAATGGCATCAAATTATTCAACATGAAATCAATTACGCTTATTATTAGTAAGATTGAAATTATAATTTTATTATTCTTGTAGTATGTTTTACTTATTTACTAGAAAGATATACGAGAAGTTATTTATTTATTTACGTCATAAAAGTTTAAAAACTCTGTGTGACGTGCTAAAGGGAAAAGTTAATTTGAAGTTTGATTTTTGAAATTACATCAGCTGACGTCCTGCACCCTCAGTCGGTGGATTCAATGTTGTACATTCTGAAGTTCTTCCACAGGGGCAAATTCGACCACATAAGATTCCTCTAAAGATTTTTGTTTTTGAAAATCAATATTGCTTTTTTGGACGCAATTTAGGGCACTCTAAAGAAGTAAAACAGTTTTCAAAAGGCCCTTAACGTAATTGAACGATTAAGGGCATTAAGAAAAGTGCCTAACATTAACATGCGTTTTAATTGATAAAAGGCGGGGAAATAAAATTATGATATCATCAATATTTTGTTTTTTATAGAACAATTTCCGTAATGCGTTTGACGGAAATTACAACACGTCGTGTAAAAGAGTTAATTTCACTGAGATAAGTTTGCTGCTGCATCACTACTTCCAGGTGATCTAGTAATTCCAATTAAGTAGGGCTTACTGATGGATAATCCTACAGATAAGATAAATGGTCGAGAGCGTCAACAAGGAACTGAACGGAGGATTATGAGATTATGTCGTACATTACACGCTAACACACGGTATTATAAAGGACAATGTATCGACGGTATGAATTCCTATATACACTTCTAAACATAGAAAGAAAAATAAATTTTAAGTATCAACAGAGAATAAAATGCAATCGTCATGGAAGTGGAGTAGCGTTATTTAAGGATATCATAATTCATATGTCCAATTGTGAAAGAAATTCGTAGCGAAAAAGTTTTCTAAAACTATGTCAGTCAACTTTGATCACTATCTGCGTTCGGTTCACAGGGTTTTTAAAATTCTGAAACTCAGCTTGATTTTTTTTCTGTAGAAATTGTTAAAATCGCATATGTCTTTCACTAACGTAGTAAATATACTATAATCGGAATAATATGAACTTTTTTGTTTGCAAAATACGAATAATTAAATTTTTTCGCATCTCAAATTTATTGACTAATACCGACAACCAGCAGACGTTCTGCCCTTCATCTTCCTCTTTCTCCTCCTCTCTCTCCCTTTCTCTCTGTCTCTCTCTGTCCCTGACTCAGTCTGTCTGATTCTGTCTCTGTCTGTTGTGTGATTCTCCGTCTGTTTCTGCCCCTCTCACATACATTTAGTTGCAGATTCTGCAAGTCTCTTAGCAGGTGGGGGAATATCGAGAAGCTGCGGACCAGCAAATATGTGATATAATGTTCAAGATGATTTCATTCTGTAGATTACATCGTGAGAAATGTTTACTTGAAGCCTTGGGCTTCAAAATTTTAGTTTTCAATTCCATAGAACGCCTCGACAAGGAGTTATTTAACGATATAGAGTAAAAAAATCCTGCAAATGCTGCGGGTTTCATTTGACATTAATATTTTGTTTTGTTTTTTCGAGAATTTTCCCGATATTTTTATATTCTGCGGGGCAGAGATGAATCCAACAAATGTGAGATATTTAAAATTGATTCAGCCGTTCTTGAGTTATAAATAGTGTAACTATTCCGACTTTGTTTTATTTATTTAGATTTAAAAAACATTAGTTTTTTTTCTATTTTGGATTTTTAGAGCGAGTTCACTCTCTCTATTTGAGTTACATCTAGCATAAGTCTAGCGATTCTGCAGTTCATC